TGGTATGTTTGGTTTGTCAATTATAAAGCATATTACTTTACAAAAAAATGTTGCTCATGACTTTTAGTATGACCCTCGTGTGTGTGTATATAACATTTCGCCATTAAAGGTTATGTAGTTTATGTTTATGTCTCCACTGTTTATGAACTCAGACTTTGGATTGTACAGATATTTTAAAGTTTCATCTAGTCTCCTTAGAAATTCATTAACCTGTCCTGAAGGTGCTCTGTGTAGGCCTAATATAATTAGGTGAGATGTTTTAGTTACTAGCTGTATTGCACAGATTTCAAAGTCTTGCTCCTTACAGTGATGAGAAATATCAATTTTACTGAAATGTAGATCTCTCTTAACAAAAATACACACTCCTCCCCTCCGTAGGCTCTTTCGGCAAAGACTTGAGCCTAACAGGTAACCATTCATTGAGAGGAGCAGCAATTCCTGTTCTACCATGTGATGTTCACTTAGACACAATATGTGAGGGTTTATGTTGTCTATTTCAAAAGAGTGTAGTAGTTCATCACTTGCTTCTCAAGCCTCTGATATTGTGGTGAAAGACATTTATTGAATTTAATGTTTCTGCATTTTGTCTGTGAATTTCCAAGACTGCTGGACTGCATTTAATATATGTTAGGCATCTTGGTGCTTTTGAATTTAATCTAAAATAGGAGACACCCTAGCATTGGTTATAACAGGAATACCGCTTATACCTGATGCATGACCACCAGCAACGCACTCAGCAATAAGCTGCGTGAGCCTCTTCTTGCCTCGAGAGCTCAGGTGCAGGCCATGCATTGTGTAATCTTCCCTCGCAATTGATGATGTGTCAGTTACACCAATGTGAGACATGTCATGACCCATCAGGGCCCGATCAAGCCTTAGATTCATGCTCCTGACCCTCCCATTCATCCATGGCTTGTCATGCCTCTTAAAGAGGCTGACAAATCCCACATTGGTGTTTGATGTCCTCTCTGCAATGTAGTTGAGATCATTTTCAATTGAATAATGACAGTTTCTATCCAGGCTGTTTCCTGGCCCTCCCACTATGATCTTGCTAGGTAGGGCCTTTACCAAGCTTCCCTATATCCTCAACAACCTTTGCAAGAGGAGCATTTGGTTTGAAAATGCTACATATGGAAAATGTAGTTCCCAGATTTTCTTGAAGCATGGGGCCAATTTTCCTACCATGACTACTTCCCAGTAATAAGATCTTTCTTTTATTTTTCTCTGTCTTCATTGTGATAGATTTTAGTTCCCTGCTTTTATGCTTCAACAAAACTGGGGTTTGCTGACCCAATTCCAGTGCATCTGTTTCTAGTACACTGAATTTATTGTTTAGCTGAACTTGACTAGCATCATTTGCAGAGAACCTACAGAACCTGGACTTGGAATTTTTTGGTTCTTTCCAATTTCCTGAAGTATCTTGCTGCATGAAGTTGCTGCTGACATCCTCTCCTTTCAGCTTACAAATTTCTTCTCTAGCTGCCTTTAATTCTTTTTCCAGGTGCCTGATTCTCTCCTCCTGTTGCTTCACATGTTTCTGGTACTTACATTGGATACAATGCCATGGCTTGCTCCTGTCTGGTATACTGGGGCTATTGATTGCATAGTTTAAGTGGAAACATTAGCCACAGTCTGTAACAAATAGGCCATTAGTGACCCATCTACGACAAGCCCCAGATTTACCAGAAAGGCTATTTGTACCAGATATCATTATGGCTATGAATATTAATAATATATTCCGCATTTGCTAGGTGCTATTAATAAAACTTCAAAACCACAATTAGAACAAATTCTTTTAGGGTGACTCACTGCACAGATTCGATTGTCAGGAGTTAAAATCTCAAATTTCTGCGCACTTCACTTGTATATCACCAAATGAATACAGTAACAGATTATCTGACTAATAATTTTATTACTTATATTCAGTACTTCAGGAAAAAGAAACGAAGAGAGAAAACACTATTGTGATGCATTTCCCTCGAAATCACTTTTTGATGCACTTCACTATGAAATTGGTAGTACACTTACAATTCCAGTAATTAATAACCCAGATTCAGTAAACATCAGTACACTCACACAAATAACAGACTAGAATACTATATTACAATGATACAGAATTTTTACAGAAACTCAGTTTCGGGGTCTGTAAATGTAATATGTAGGGCCATATGACAGACTATTACATGGCAAAGCAACAAATGCACTGGTATAATTGAATTCCCTTATTTCTAAACAAAATGCTTATTACATACAAAAAAATGAATATTCTTTATTTATGATAGCAGCCGTATAATTTGTACTGCATGTTTAAAATAAGAGTAAGTCAGTTTTTTGCCAGAGTGTGGTTTGAGGAATGACAATGTAGAGCGAACTCTTATTGGTGTTGGACGGAGCGAAGAGAAGAATGATGGGTGGAAGGAAGAGAGGGAACCTTGTTGATGATATCTCTCTCTTAGCTCAAAGATTTAGAGACATGGGAGAAAACATTAAGATGACTGTAGGAAGACGCTAAGGTTGCTGTTAATAAAACTAAAGAGATGCGAGTGAATGTCACAATTGAAGAAAAGCTGAATATTTATGAGAAGGAAGTTGAACAGGTGGACTCATATACACACCTAGGAAGTATTGTCACTGAAGATGGTGTTGCAGATGAAAATGTTAGGAGCCAGATCAGAAAAGCTAATGGAGCTTTTATTCACTTGTATCTTCTGTGGAGAAATTGAAACATCTTGAGAAAGACTAAACTCTGAATCTTAACTACCAGTTTGAAGTCACTCCTCTTTTATGCTTGTGGAATGTGGAATGTTACCAGCAAGTAGCAAACAGACTGCAGGTCTTTATTAATTGCTGTTTATGGTGCATTTTTAGTATAAGATGACCAGAGACTATATCAAATGAAGATTTGTGGAAAATTACAAAGCGACAAGCAGTTGTAATCCAGATCACGAGGAGGAAATGGTACTGGATTTGTAATACCCTAAGGAAACCTACTGCATCCATAGAGAAGTCGGCTCTAGACTGAAATTTCCAGGGGCCTGAAAGGCGCAGCTGCCCCGAAGAGACATTAAAGAGGACAATCGAGGAAGTAGCCATGGAAATGGGGAAGGCATGGAGCAAGGTTAAAAGAATTGCTGTTAAAGAGGATCCAGTGGAAGCTTTTCACAGATGCCTTATACTGCAGAAGAAGCAGCAGGAATTTAGTATCTGTGTGTGCAGAAGTAGTTCATTGCATTTCATCTGCACCCTAAATATAAATTTTGAAACTAAAGGATGTAATTTTGTTAAGAGCTGGGAAATCTAATTATGCACTTTGTATATTGGGAGTTCTGAAACTCCTGAATGAATGTGATTAAATTTATTATTGAAGGTGGTTGATACTGACCCAATATAAATACTGT